TAGAGTACGCGCACGCAGTGCATTTCAACCGCACAGCCAGTTGCGCATCAGCCACAAACACACACACGCACCATCCAGAGCATTCTCACACAGTCAATGGAAAGATTTCCGACAAAAAAACCCATAAAAAAAAGTGCTTCTGACTCTATGGGGCCACCCAGCCTCGGTGTTGGTATCATCATCAGCAGGGTGGCGCATGATTCACACATGTATCTAGGTGTGGTTGCAGAGGCTTGTGCCCACTCTAAGCGCTGGGAGTCGCCTTTGCCTTCTTGCTGCTCTTCTGCTTCTTTGCCAGTGCCTTGTGTAGGCTTGGCATCACACCACCGCGTGACAGCGTCACGTTCTGCAGCAGTGCACCAAGGTCATCGTCGTGGCGCACAGCGAGTGTCACCGTGCGGGGTGTCAGGCGCTTTGGCTTCTTTGCCTGCTGGCTCGCCGCCTTCACGGAGAGCTCCAGCAGCTCAGCGGTCAGGTACTCCAGCACGGCCGCCATGTACACTGCACCAGACGCACCAACGCGGCGCGCGTACTGACCGCGACGCAGCAGTGAGCCCACGCGACCCACGGGAAAGATCAGACCCGCCTTGGCGGAGCGGCTGCCGCCGTGCTTCTTCGACGCCTTCTTTGTCACCTGCTTGGGAGTTGCCATTGGTTGGTTGTAGGTAGTTGCTTAGTGCTTTGTAGCTGTTTTTCTAACAAGGAAGGGAGAGGAGAAAACAAATAAAGGAAGTGTTTGTAGATGTTTCGGTTTCTAGATTAATTCTCTTTTTGCTGATTTTAATTATTGGTGTTTTTTTTTTTGTTGTTGTTGTAGCAATGTTCCACATTGTTCTTGTATTTGTTTTTTTTGTTGAGGATATTTTACATCTTTTTCGTCGTGTGTTTCAAAACATTGATTTGTTTGAGTGTTATAGGTCATGTTTTGTTGTGCATACAACGTCGTCTTTCTGTTTTTTGTATTGTTGTTGGTGTTGGGAGAGGTACATGTTGTACTGATTGAAATCTATCTTTTTCTTCAAC